CCCGTGTTTGCAGTTGGCGGCGTGGTCGCCACGTTTGTCCATCGCGCGGCCACAGTGAGAGAATTGTAGGGGGGCCCGTGAATCGTCGTACACAGGCGTGTCGAGGTGTCGCCGAAGCATAACGGACCACACGGCACTTGAAACTCGCGAGGTCAGAGATGGGTGAGCGCAGAGGAAGGAGGCCGCACCAGGAGTAATTAGAGAGTTGTAGCGGGCGCGACGGCGTACAGAGGCTGCCGTATGATCGGTTGGGTTAGGCTGTCGATCCCACTCTCTCGTTTCCCAATACATGCGCGAAAAGGCTCCATGGAGCGCCTGATATAATGTAAAATGTACTCTTTCAGGTCGTTCCAATAAAGCTTGCGGTTCGAAGGGGCCCAGATTAGAATGCGTAGCGAGGATCCCTCGGGTTTCGACCTCGGGGTTCAAGGAGCGCAGTACATGCACTAGATGCTTCCGTGCCATTCCGCGGTAGAATGGCACTGTAGGGTTCGAAGGTCCGCGAATGCGTGCTTTTGCGGATTCAATTAAACTTGCAGCGTGAGATGCGTGCAAAAACGGGGCCAGTGGCGTGAAACCATGACCACCCAAACGGAAGGGGAGGCCAATCTGGGAAGATATGGACGGAGAAAGCGTGACATGATTGAACCGGGAGTAGGCGGATTTTTGACTTTGATCAAACCGAATTGCGCTTGGGAGCGAAATGCGAGGTGGTGTTAGGCGGAACACATGCTCGACGCGGCACACGGATCCTGATACTCGATGCAAATGGAAACGTATACGAGCATCGGGAATGCTGTCGAGCAATGTGAGGGAGTTTGACACTGCCTCAATTTTTTCCTCCAAGAATGACCTCATGAATTCATCTGTGCCTAACGGGGCGCCCAAAAGAGCAATTCCGCCTTCTTGTGAGACGTGTAAGGGGAACGACGTGGTGAGGGATTCGAGAAGTGACGGCTCAGTTGTGGGCCAGAAAGCGCGACATTTAGAAATGTTCATGCGGAATCCCATGCTGGGGCCAAATGTGTGAAGAATGCGGAGTGCTTTTGTAACCTCCGGGATAGTGCCAATTAGTGTACCGTCATCGGCGTACCAGCGGTTGAGCAGGAGGCTGCATTCGCGGGTGATGCGGCGGACAAGTGGTTGGAGCGCTAGAGAGAAAAGGAGCATTCCAGCAGGGTCGCCCTGTTGGGTTCCTTCACAACTTTTAAGAATGACCCGTGGGGAAGACGGTAGCACGAGGTCGGGAACAGTGCGGCCATAGATGAGGTTGAGGAAGTGGGCAAGGCTAGGCGTATCCAGAGTGAGACGGTTGAGCATAGACTGACGGCTAAAGCTGTTGAACGCGTTTTGTGCGTCAACAGAGACGAGCACGTAGTTGGGGTTGCGACCGTGTCGCGCCAGGAGCATACGACAATCATGGACAATGGCGTCCATTCCCGATGAGACGCCATTGGCGAGCTGTTCCGGGGCCAGGCGATCGCGGGTATCATCAATTGCGGCGGGGAGAAGGACCTTTGTTACGAGGCGGCGAAGTGCCTGCCCCACGGCAATGGGGCGGAGCTTCCCGGGGCGCGGCTGGAGGGGGATCAGGGTTGACGCAGCCAGGAGGGGGGCTGTGCTATCCGGGATATCGCCTCGGGCGAGTCTCCGCACCAGGCGGGTGAGGGACGAAAGACCGGTAACACCGGCCTCGGGAGTGACGGTCGTGCGAGCGAGCAGCTGCAGCAGGCGGGGCGAGAGGCGATCTGGCCCGGCTGCGGACGTGGGATTGAGAGATCGAGCAGCACGTAGTACTTGGCCTTCGGTGATGTCTGGAGTCGGAGGGAGGTCGGTTCGGGAGAGTGCTTGTGTGGGCACAGCGGGTGTAGGATGAAGGGCGGTTAGGGAAGTGCGCGTGGTCTCTTCTTGGAGGTCGGGGAGCGGTTTGTCTGTCAATGCGCGCATTGCTCGTCCATATTGGGCGTCGGCGGCCATGCCCATGGCGCGGCTGATGCGGCGACGGTCGTGGCCTGAGTTTTATTTTCACTAATCAAGGGGGGCCGATGCCATATCATAGGGCAGGCTTCAAGGACTCACACTTGGGCGGGACAAGATAAGGCCGCGCCATGATAAGGCATGCGGGCGAGGGTGGCTGAGGCAACACTTGACCATATGGCATAACTAAGACGCTGAGAGAGACGAGACTTTGCAGTACCAAAGGTGGTACCGGTGCGGATGGCAATTTGATGGGAGAGGGACTCGAGGACAGATGTAGAGCGGGCGCTGGGAGCGCCCAGGGTGTCGAACGCAAGAGGCACGAAGTGCCAGTCCAGAAGAGGGAGCGAGGCGTCGGCTTGTAGATGTAGAGCGGAGCGGATGATGCGAGCGTGCGTGCTTAGCTTGTCAGCATCCGCCACTTCGGCGGCGCCGGCTATACCGCGAGCAGCCGGGATGAGGGCCCCCACGCGGTAGGGGCTCCGGACAGTGACATCGTAAGCCGTAGGAAGGTCTGGCAGAGCTCCCGCAGGAGGCGGAGCGGGCTGAACGAGGAGATCGGCGGGGCGGTGAGCCGTGCCAGGGATGAGAAAAGGGACTTCCATATCACAGCTCAGTCCTGAGGCGCGGAAAGCATGTCGTGCCAGAGTGTTCCGCACCGTGTTGTGACGATGCACAGTACCGAAGCCGTGCTTGCACATGGCGGCATGGTCACCGCGTATATCCATGGGACGGCGACAGTGAGAGCAGAGGAGGGGCTGGATGGAGTCATCGTAGACCGGGGAGTCAAGATGACGGCGGAGCATACATGCCCACACTTCGCTGGAGACGCGTGATGTAAGGGCGGGATGAGCACACAAGAAGGAAGCGGCGCCTGGCGCGCACAGGGAGTTGTAGCGCGCTCGGCGGCGTACGGAGGCGGGTGTGTGGTCGGAGGGGCTGGGGAGGCGATCCCATGCAGATTTTTCCCAGTACATCCTTGAGAAGGCGCCTTTCTTTAAAGATTGCATCTTAGAATTTCATTTGTATAAATAAGCCATGCTGGGCCGAAAGTCGACACGGGTCTGTAGCTCAATTGGTAGAGTGCTCCCTTAGCATGGGAGAGGTACCGGGATCGAAGCCCGGCAGATCCATTTTTTCCCCAAATCAGAAAAAACCTTCTTACATTTCCATCGACAGTTTCACGGCTTGGCTTGTCGGCTAGCTGCATGATGCAGAAAGCCTCTCGCTGTGATTGCAAACTGGCCGACGTCAAGTGAAGACGGCGAGACACGAGGCGTTTGGCTCTTGATTTCGCTCCGCCAAGACCTGCGAAAGGTTCTTTTTTTATTATTGCCATTGTATTGGTGTGACAGTTTTGTTGGCCTTGTCCCGACACAAGAGGATGATGTCATCAACAGGAGTTGCCGCTCTCGGCCGCATGCAGATATAAATGCGCCGACAGCGCACTGAGTACGTCGAGAACGGCGAAATGTGTATGCGGAGGCCGGCGTTAACACTATGAAGGATTTGGCGATATCCGGCGCTCGCAGTGACGTCATCCGTTGGTGCAACGTGATTGGTCTGAGTGGGGATGAACTAAGTGGATGAACTAAGCGCCCAGGAAGGTCCCGTTTTGCATTCCCACTTCACCCGCGAAAAACGTCTCAAACAATCTATCTGTTTGCATCTCCCGCGTGAGAATCTAGTTTCTGGCCCTGAGAGGTCAGAAAGACCTTAACACGTGTATTTTTGCGCAGCCGGATGAGACCCTCATGTGAGGCTCCCATACATTCGCTTTCCTCTTCTCTTGTGCTTTTTAACATCCAGCCTGGAAGCCTTCCTTTCCCCTCTATACGGCAGAAGCCACGCTTCTCCGTCTCACCATGTTTCCACGGCGCCACATTTTGCTACTTCCCCCGCCTGAGTCTCGCTTCGGCCCGCCCTCCCGTATTTCGCCCGTTGACCTTCCCGACGACGTCCTTCTCCGCATTTTTGAACGTCTTTCTCATGCTCGTGATATTGCTGCCGTGAGAGGCGTTTGCATCTCCTGGAGATTGCTCATCGACCGCACAGAGACCATATGGAGGTCCCTCGTTTTCGACTTGCCACGCTGCGCAAGAAATGCCCAGTATGCAGAGACATGGTACAGGAAAGCAGCTGACTATGGTAATTCACAAGCGCAAGTAGGTTGCTATGCTCTTTTTACGACAGGAAAACACAGACTCCTTGATTGTAGCTCTTTTCGCTGACCACGTCTCTATACTTCCTATAATCTGCTTCTCACACATCGTCTGGGTATGCTATTCTTTGGTGTATTTTCGTTTTCGCCGCAGTTTATGCTTGCTTTGCTATACACCTATGGGTACAACAGCCCACACCGCACTTGAACCCATCGTTGACTGCCCTTGTACAACACTAAATTTTTCATCTTGTGAAAGCACGGAAAGTACTGAGGGCACCACCGTCTTGCACTTTATGTCTCTTACGATATTCAAATCCCTCCGCATATTGACACCTGGTCTATATATGTTTTCGAGAAGGCATCCCAACCCTGGAAACTAACTTCACGTAGTCTCATCCTACTCTCCGTCTTTCACGTATCATGAAATAGTCACAACTCGTCATAACTCTTGATGCATATTAGTAACGAGGACCTTCTTCCAACGCATATCTCACCCCAGCCCGCAAAAACAATGTTGCACTTCTTGTGTCAGCAATCTGAGCGTCACCTTTCCTGCTTTCTCACTGTATCTTTGCGAGACATCCAACCTCCCTGCACTCTAAAATACACCCACCACTCATTCTGCCTTGACAGGTAATAAAGGCTAGCATGCCCCGCTCCTTCCGATAAAAAGTCAGTTGTTAAATCGCACCTTGCCGAGTCTTGCAGGATCTTCCTGAGAATTTCCCGCTTCCATTCAATTACAACTATTACTCAGTCCGCATGGTGCCAGCGATGCATTTTGAGTGTCAGAAAAAGTGGTAGCATTCGTCTTGTTCGATCGGATGCGGCGATTCCAGTACGCACGCATGTAGCAACTTCAGATGTGGATTTTTTTGTCGCCAGGCAGAGGAGACAAGCGATTAGCATTCAGTGGAGCTTCGTGACTAAAGAAGTGCCAATTCACTGACGGTAATCCCCACAGCAGAACGCAAGCTCGTACCACGCAATACTTGCAATACTTGCTCTCTTTCATTGCCCTCTGACTGCGCGACACAACCAAGCAGGTTCGCTTGTTGTTTTGGATGTTAGCAGGTCCTTGCCATATCAAATATTCCGCCCCTTCTTGTTTGGACATCCACCTCGCCCTCACCACAAAAACACCACAAGCAACTTCTTCTTGAGCTCCTACGGCGCCCTTCTCTTCACTGCCATTCTCAGCACTCCTCGATTCCCTAGCATCGACCCCCGCAACCATGAACTTTGTTGCAGCAGGACTTGTGTTCAAGAGAGCTCAACAGTAATCACTTGACTTGATTCGGAACACTCCTGTCTCAAAATCAGGGTGGATGAGTGGACGCCATGGCCTTTTGAGCCACTTCCAAGCACCGAAAGAGTACTGGGTATCACTTCACGGCGATGTTCTCTTACTTTATCCAGCATCTGAGCTGCAGCAGCAGTTCGCTCAGCAACGGTTCAATGAGGGCATATGGAAACGCAAGCGCGACTGTATACGTGTTTTGAAGGTTCAAGGCAAGACTCTAATCGACTCACTCGCCCGCCGCATCAACGCCCGGCGTGTGTTAAAAAAAAATCGTCATGCCAGCCATAAAGATCAAGATGTTGGCGAAAGCGCGGTCTATGACTCTTAGGTCTCGGCAAACTGTCACGTTATACGCCTCAGACAGTTACGAATTGGAAAAGTGGAACACGCTGCTGGCGGATGCTCAGAGAACACCAGTCAAAAATCTCTCTGATTTTGACGTCGTCGACGAGCTCGGCAGTGGCGGCTATGGAACTGTCTTTAAGGCAGAGGACAGGAACACGGGAGATGAAATGGCCGTGAAAGTCATCCACAAGAAGACTCTGCACCAAGATGTTCGGGTGTACAGAAATGCTTTGGCAGAGCGTCGGATCCTAGAACTCGTGCGGGGGCACCCGTTTGTATTGGGTATGCACTTCGCATTCCAAAGTGCTCACAAGTTGTACTTGGTCACAGAATTATGCCACTCTGATCTGTACGATTTTATAGACGAATCGCTCGCAAGGGGCCGAGTCGCTTCCGAGTCCACGGCACGATGCCTCATAGCGGAGATGACGCTGGGCTTGGAGCATCTCCACGAAAGGGGTGTTCTTCATCGGGATTTGAAACCCGAAAACATCCTGATAGATAAGAACGGCCATCTCTGCCTTGCCGATTTCGGACTGGCGAAGCAGCTGCAGTGGAATATCGAGGGCAGGCTGGTGCGAGCACGCTCTCGTGTTGGAACACCGCAGTACATCGCGCCCGATATGATACGACATCAGTCGTACGATACGAGCGTCGACTTTTGGGCAATGGGTGCGATTCTGTATGAACTTCTCACCGGGCAGCGTCTTATTCGCTCGAGAAACATGCGCCATATTTTCTTCGAGATCACGCATTTGAAAAAGACGGCTGTCCCCGGTTTGTCTCCCGCCGGCATGAGTTTTCTTCGACGGTTACTGGAAAAAGATCCCTTGAAGCGCCTTGGATCCGGCATTGGCGGCACAACAGAAATCAAAAATCACGAGTGGCTTGCCGGAGTCGACTGGGAAGCCATCAAGGAAAGGGCATCAGATTCGGGGCCTTTGTCTGATTTCATCTTGTCAAAGATTCGGGGGAGCTGCACACGTCGAGGCTATGCACAGCGACCAATAAATCGCAACCAGCGGGGAAATCGTACAAGAAGGCAAATCTACAGGGATTGCTTGAGGGACCTTCACTATGTATGTACAAACTTGAAAAGAGAGCTTGACGAGGATATCCAACCGGTGAACTGCATGTTTACGAATGACGATGACTCTATTAGCAACCTTGTTCCCCTCTCCAGCAGACCAGAAGCACCGATGAGTCGAAAAAGCAGACATATTATTGCTGGGTATCGTTTTTCCCCAAGAATGTGAGCTTCACAAAGCACTGTTTTAGTGACAAATGGTTTCCAATCCCGGTGACTCGCCACGGGCTTCGAGCTCCAAGAAAAAGATTCCCCACCGTGTACGGTGCCTCATTTACACCCATCTTCGAGCCGAAGGCTTAGGTATCACTTCACTTGTAATAAACGCTCTGGAATATATACTGTATATAAATTGATGCCTCGTGCTATACAGTATCATCACAGAAACAATTTTCCCGTGTCTCCCCCCCGAAAGCCATAATTGCATAGGAGTGCCCTTTGCTTCGTCCCAGGTCAGTTCGGTTCAGTTGAGTTTTTTCCTTCTTTCTTTTCTCACGTTTAGCCCTTGATCAATAGGATCTCCTGAATAACTCTTGACATTTGGATGAGTACCGAAACTGCACCTTCAGGGCTCGAAAAATGACAACAGTGTCTTCATTGCTCCTTCCCCCTCTAGCGCTTGCATCTCTCACGAACTCAATCGGTTTTTCCTGAGCAACGACCGAAGTCTGCAATCTTTGCATTCCTGATGAAGGGTTCGCCAAATGCCTTCATTCGCCTGCTGCGGACATCAAAGGATTTGTACCCTTTCATGTAAGTTGCAAAAGAATGGAGGCGGAAGACATCTGGTTTTCCATGTGGGCATTTAACCCCTGTGGTGCGGTAAGGTAGTCTACATCATCCAGATGCCACTTTTACTCCAAAGCATTTTTTTAAAGAAATATGGAGCTGTACCGAAACTGTTTTGCGAGGACAGTGCAGTACGAGCTCACTGATCGACATGCATTTGTTAGTGTATTCGGAGAACCATTTGCTCGCTTGGTTGGACACGCTGCATTTGCTCTGATCTGAGAAAAAGACCAAACCAACAACTCTGAGCGCAACACTCTGAGCGCAACACTCCTATCACCAAGGGGCATCCTCACCGCAGTAACGGACTATGCTGCTTTCCGTCCTAGCCGCGTTGGCTACTCTAAACTTCGCTGAATCAACTCAGTGTGATCCGTCTTCTTATCATCAACCAGCCGCAGCGCACTCTGCTGTCGAGCTCCCTTTGCTTGCTGGACATACGCGTTCAGTGGTAGAACCTTTTCAGTTCGCTGTTGTCGCTCCTGAGTCTCGCATGTATACTCCCAGCTTACCTGGGTGGCATGGTACAATCTCGGCAGCAGCCATTGTGACACCAGCGCTCGGTGCTCGGTTCGCTATGTATCTCGTCAACGCTTCTGCTGGTGCTTCTTCGACAGATGGCACTTTATACGAAGGTGCCCCATCGGGCTTGGAGCGATTCCTCTATGTCCTCCATGGGACAGTGTTTGTGAAAGAAGAATCACAAGGCGAGCGAAGACTGGAGTACGGGGGTTTCGTCTACTACGCACCCGGCGAGAAGATGAACACCTTTGTGGGTGATGAGGGTTCAAGCTTCGTGCTGATAGATCAAGTGTACGCAGGCGCATTCAAACCAGTGTCTGTTATCGGGAATGAAGCAGAAGCCGGAACTGAGTTTGTTCCAGGAGAAGTGTTCAAACTCAGACGGCTTCTTAATGGCAGTGACCCAGGTTACGACTTCAACATACACATTATGGACTTTGCGCCAGGTGAATACATGAACGTGAAGGAGGTCCATTACAATCAACACGGCCTCCTCATGCTGCGTGGACACGGCATTTATCTGCTTGGTGAACGTTTCTTTCCAGTAGCGACGGGGGATGCATTGTATATGGCTCCTTTTGTTCCGCAATGGTTTGGGGCATTGGGTCCGACAAGCGCGCGGTATTTCTTGTACAAAGACGTAAACACTAATCCATTGCTACATTGAATGTCGATTGGCGTCGTGACTCTGCCCGTGTTGCAGACTGAAAGGTTTGGTAAAATTTTGTCCCGCGTCATCGCAGTGCACGCTGTACGGCAGATACGAGCTGATTGTCAGTAGGCCGACTGTCAAACTCTTCGCAGAGAGTGTAGTCATCAAGCTGTTCCATTTCAACAGGATCGGTCTCTCGCGGATGAACAGGGTCAGCATCCGTCCCAACAAATCTCCAAAGCGCCCATTTGCCCGGGTACATTCTCAGAACGACAAACCTGGGAGGTGGGGTGTTGGGATTCTCGGCCTGTTCACCTTTTGGCTGAAGTGCGAATGGAGCAAGCACAAACACCGGCTCAAACTTTGTGAGCTCATAGGGCAAAGTCCCCCCAAAGCCGAGCATCGAATACAAAGAGTCTTCACGTGGATGATTGTGCACAATAACAGGCAAACGGTCCTTTTGAGCACTTTGCACGAGTCGCCTGAAATCGAGAATGGCGTCACCCTTCGCCGGCGGATCGAGAATGACATACGCGTGCGGCTTGTGTCGCTCATCGGGCGACTGCTCGCCAACTCCCAAGACCGCAACGGAGACATCCTGAATGTTTGTGGAGGAGAGCCATTCGCGGACGCGAAGGGCGGTGGTGGGCCCGGGGACGACAAGCTGGACAATGGGGCGCTCCGCCGGGAGGACGGGCTGTATCGCGGCTACGAGGGCGCGCGTGAGGACGGCAGCTGAGGAGGCGTCGTAGGTGCGGGCGCGGGGGTCAACTGCGGCGGTGAGGACGTCGACGCAGAGACGTTGGCGGCCGGCGATTAGGGCGGTGCGGACGCAGGACTGGATGTCGACGGCAGCAGAGGTGGCATCGTTCGGGACTCGGGCGCGACAGAGCGGGGTGTGAAGAGGCTTGATGCGTGGACGAGAGGGGCGGGGCGCAGGGATGGAGACGAAGAAGGGGGGGAACATGGTTTTGGTCGTCGAGAAGAGGAGCAAGTGAATCGCGTATTAGAGTGTGGCAGCGGGGAGAACACACAGGTTGGCAATGTGCGTACTACAGGTAGTACAGTACCAAGGGTACCGTTAATAACGGTACAGTACCCTTAGGGTACCTTCTCGAAGGGTACTTCGTACAGGGGGGGGGGACTCGCATTAGTGCCGTTTTTATTATTGCCACCCTTCCATTAGTGCACCCCGGACGCATGAACACGAAAAGTGCCACGTGTTATACGGGTCCAGCTGTTAGGCTGTCTCCCGTCCGTGTCAAACACAAAAAGCCCTTTTTAGCCCGATCCTCAAGCTACTGCACACCGTCCACCGACTTTAGCTTGTAGTCGTTATGGCTCCGGTTCCAGAAAAGACGAAAGCGACTCGCAAGCGTCTGACCATATCGCAGAAGCTCGAAATCGCAGATCTGCTCGACAATGGATACCGTACCACAGCCGTTATGCGACAGTTCGGCATTGCCGAGCGGACCGTACAAAACATCAAGGCAACTGCTCCCGCATTGCTCCGCGTAGCCAACCAGAAGCCCCAGTCACTTCAAGCGAAGACCCGTCCGTCAGTCCATTATGGTCCCCCATCTCGAACTGAAGCTCCTTGAATTTCTCAACTATGCCAGATCAGCAAAAATGCCAGTAACACAAACTGTCCTACAAACGCGGGCCCTCATGATTAAGGAACAAATGCTCAAGTCTCAGGTGACAGGTAAAGATCGCACCACGCTTGACAAGTTCACAGCATCTCGTGGATGGGTAGAGAAATTTGTCAAGCGACATGCTCTTCGTTCTGTAGCCCTGCACGGGGAGGGAGGGCAAGTACAAGTGCAGGAAGTCGCAAAAGACATCAACATCCTGCGATCACGTTTGCGCAATTTCGACCCAGAGAACATCTACAATGTCGACGAAACAGGCCTGTTTTTCAAGCTGCTACCTCGACGCAGTGCGTGCGATGCGGAATACACCTGAAACACAATCAAGTGATGAAGATGAGAGCGCTGGGGATGCGATAGGAAGAAGCGCTATACCCTCTGCGCTGGAAATCGCGGAATTGTTTGGAGATCTGGAACTTCTGGCATCTGAGTGCCAAGTTTCAGACGCTTTATCGCATCTAAGGTCAGCAAAGCGCGCGTTTCTCACTGCAAAACATGATAGAAAACCAACGCCGATCAGGCAGATGTTAATTTCCGAGTGCCTGTAAATGGATGTGACGGCGTCACTTACTAATGCCACCCTCCCAATAGTGCCGTTTTTGGGGTCTCACACGGGGCGGCACTAATGCGTAGGGTCCCCTGTACCATATTCAGCATTACATGCACACATGGTACAAACTTTACCCTTGGTCCCCTTGGTACCTTTGAATGGTCGACCTTTATTGTAACTAGAAGGGGGGAGCCAGGGCGCAGAAGCGGCCGGCCCTTAATGGAGAGGTGCAAGAGATGCGTGAATCCGGCGGCGATTGACGGATAGGGCGGTGTATTGAAGGACGAGAGAAGTAAGAAACGTGCTAATTTGAAGACGAGTAGAGGTGGGGCAACGTCCAGTACGACTGGATAGGATCAGAGACGAGTTGGAGCCCTCTGACCGTACCCGAGCCGATACGCCCGTAGATACACGTCCCAGATCATAGGGTTACTTTCGAAGGTACCCAAGGGTACCGTATACGTACATACTGTGGGTCTAGCTCGAGTGCCGTTGGGTAGAATGGTGTCACCCTCGGTACCCTCGAGTACTGCACTGTAATGTACTGTCCCCCGCAAGCGTACAATATGGGCGATATTGGAAAGTGAGGCAAGTGGTGCTGGGTAGTGTGGATCTCGGGGGGTGCCCGAAATCTCAATGAATCTCTGATAATTATGGTGGCTCCGTGCGAAATGATTGGAGGGAACAAAAGAGAAAAGCATATTACAGTGGCGGAATGAGTATTATCGCCAAGGAAACCAATAGAGCGGGGGCACGCGTCCCACAATGGCACCAGTTGCGCCATTGATTCTGTGTGTACCACTGTGGTACCCCCAAACGAGCCCCCTGAGCGATAAGCCACCACAACGTCACACTAACTGGTCTCCACCCCACCGCGACTTTGCTCAAAAGGCCTGCTGCTGCTCCCCACGCTCCGCTCTCCCGCCCCTACCTCACCTTCATTGTACAAAGCTCGCTTCATCAACCTCCCCATTCTTGGCTCAGCCATGCCACAGATTTTCGCCTTCGCTCATGCCCCTCCATTACCTCCTCGCTATTCCCTTCTCCCCTCATATTGCCCCTCTCGTCTACGCTGTTCACCAGCGCACTTCCAGTCCATATCCCCCATTGCCCGCCTTTCAGATAGTCGCCATGCGTACCGTCTCAGCTCTCTCCTCGCCACAAAGGTACGGCCTTCATCCCACGCCTCGACAGTCGCTCCACCACCGAATACCCCAACTGCCCCTGTCACCTCCCCAACAACTCCATCACCACCAGCCCCCCCACGCTATCTCATCCGTCTCGCACAGTCCACCGAGCTGTACACAGTCGCAGACATACGGTGCTCGGCGTTCTACGGAAACTCCGCTGCTATGACGTACTACCCCGTTCGCAGACGCGAGATCTACATGGCAATGAGGAACAGACTCGCCTCTGGCAATCGCTGTCTCGTTGTTCTTGACACGGCCCCGCCGAGCCATTGGATGCCTTTCACAAATGACGACGGCCATCTCGTCGTCGGCTCTCTTGATGCCAGTCTGCATGGCGCTGTATCAGGGAAGAGGTTTGCTTTCGGAGAGTCTGCGCATCAGGAGGGCAAGCGTATTTACATTAGTTCCATGGCTATCAGAGACGACTGGCAGAGACGAGGTTTGGCAAAGAATTTGCTGGCTCACGTCGATGATCTCGCCAACCACTTTGGCGTGAAGGAAGTCTTTCTGCACGTCGAATGGGACAATCTACCCGCAGTCGCTTTGTACACGGTATGCGGGTTTTCCAGCACGAGAAATGATGACCCTGTCTTAATTCCAAAGTGGGTTCACTTTTTGGCGAAGAAGGAGCACACGCTCTTGCGGAAAAGGATTTCCTAGCCACTACTGCGGGGAGAGGCAAAATTTTTTTTTCGCTGTCGGTCGTCGCTACTGTATGACTCGCATTTAGGCCGTGTAGATACTGTTTTGTCGCGATTCTGTCATCGCATTGATTCATAGTTTTCTGGACTCCAATATTTTTTCTCGAAGGTGAGAAGAGACCCGGAACCAATTTGCTTGCAGATCGAAGGAGGTCCGAACAACAGCTACAGCCGCGGCATACAGTATGGCTTGCGTCGAAGAAGCTTGATTTCGTACTGTATGCAAGACGCCCTCGTACAGCAAGTGGCGCTTGTATGCATTGGGAGACCCCCACACGTGTGCGTAGTTTTGTTGCACTTTTTGTCTATTTTTGTGAATAAATTGTAATTTTCCCCCGGAATCCGAAACATTTTCCATACAAAGCAAATTTCTCTTCTCATTTTGTTTTATAGAAACTTTTCGCCCGGTCCCGTCGTTGAATCGGCTGTGTCCGCCGCCGTTGCCTTCTCTTCCCACCATCGTGATACCTGCGAGCAATCTCTTCCTTCACTCGCATCCATCCTAAAGTCCGCGGCAGTTGTCGATACCATTCGTTCACTATAACTGCCAACATGGGCGCCGCTTCTACAGCCAAAAACTCCGTTCAGGTCTTCGGCCGCAAGGTAAGATCGCCTTTTTGCTGTCTTTCCCCCAAGCGACGCCCTTCTGCATCCCAAGGATCGTCCGCGTCGGTCCTCAACGACCCAATGCGCTACTCCCCCAGGGGATGATTCCAGACAACCCCTGAGTAACTTTCATTTGTAGCTTGGCTGAAATCCACCCCACAAGAATCAGACAGAACACTACTTGTCGGGGAAACTGGTCAATCGATGTGGCAGTGTTTCAAATTTTCTGACCGTGAACTTTGATTTCTGATTCCGACCGTCATGTCACGCACATTTCAGAAAACTGCGGTTGCCGTTGCTCACATCACCGGCAATGGAAAGGGCCTCATGAAGATCAACGGTACTCCTCTTGACCTCCTCGAGCCGGAGGGTCTGCGCGTCAAAGTCCTCGAGCCGATGCTAATTCTCGGCCAGGAGCGATTTGCCGACATTGATATTCGTCTACGTGTGAAAGGTGGTGGGTACACTGCCCAGATTTACGCCATCCGACAAGCAATTGCCAAGGGCCTCATTGCGTACTATCAAAAGTTTGTCGACGAAGCCACCAAGAAGGAGCTCAAGGACACCCTTCTCGCCTACGACCGGACCCTTCTCGTCGCTGATCCGCGTCGCTGTGAACCGAAGAAGTTCGGCGGCCGGGGTGCGCGTGCGCGCTTCCAGAAGTCTTACCGTTAGAAAATACGTTGGATGGAGTGCGCTTTCCTTTGCTAGCGCGAGGAGTGTGGGAAAAGTTGTTGTCCTCTGCAATTTCACCCTTGCGTTTAACACTCACCAACTCAGACCACAGTGCTGCGACATTTTGTTTGCTCACATCCAGATGTAAATTGAACGCATTTCGTTAAGCAGCGGTATTTCACGCACTCACTAATTTTCTGCTACGGCTTTTTTTAAAAATATGCCCTATCGCAAGTTGAGCTCACTTCACTAACTGGTCCTCACCCTGGTCCCTGGATCACAACTCGATATGCTAGGAATCGTTGATGAGCGAACAGCAGCATTTGTCACAGGTGCTGCAAATGTGGCCGAACGACAGACAAGTTTTAGGCATGGCAAACACGCCTGGACAAAACTATGTGGTCGCAAGCAATTATGTCCGGCAAAAGGACATTCGAGCGGTTGTGCATGCATGTCAGATCAGCTCTCTAGGAGGCACTTCGCTCGGGCTCTGCTCCTCAATGCGGCCCTAACAACGGAATTTGTTAAACCGTCATCGGCAGGTGCGCTCCAGTCGCCGTTTGCGGCTCCCGAAAATTTGGCCCAAAAGGCTCCCCCTCGGCCTAAAGCAAGGCTATTTGAGGAAGACATCTTCTACCCTGATTACTTTGCAGGTGTCTGGGAAACTGAATCCAAGCTGATATCTGTAATGTGTCCGGCAGGCTACAAACTGTTTGGCAGGCCTGGCTCTTTCGAATCCGCGCGACGAGTACGTTTCCTGATTTGACTGGAAATGGCACTACAGTGACTGCACTCTTCAGAACTCTTTTCACATATGCTATTTACGGCGGATGCTATTACATACGTCGCCGGCGGTGAATTCAATTCTAGGGGGGGCTGATACGGCGCGGGGGGGTAATTTTATCAATGCATGAGGGGTGCGCTTACAGAGACACTAGCAGATATGAAGGTGAATTATACTTCTATTGGGTATGAGATGTCCGCGGCGTGTGTCGGTAGGCGAGAGAGGATAGCGGCGGCAGCACTGGACCATATAGCAAAGCTGAGGCGTTGTTGGGTGCTGATATGGCGCCGGGCGCGTAATTTTATTCATACGGCGCCGTAGGGGGGGGTAATTTTTTTTTACGGCGCCGTATAGGATAATTACGAAACCAAGTAATAGCTGCGTTTATAATCAAGGTGATTTCACTCATAGCTAGCGCAAGTGTGGTCCGTCCCCCCTGTAGCTCAATCGGTTCTTTTTGTTAGCTTTCGACAATCAGCGTGTCGACGCGGGTCGCAGAGCATTGGTCTTATGAGCCAAAGGTTGCGAGTTCAAGCCTCGCCTGGGGGACGTCTTCGCGATATTGTTTTTGATGTTCATTTTTTTCACCAATCAACAACCATCGCGTATCTCGTACAGTCCATACCGCTCAATAGTGCAGTGCCGTGCCACGCGGTAGAATACTGCACTATTGGCGTATTGCATTACACTGTACTCCAGAGAGGATCTCGCAAATCACTTACAGTATACGAAGTGGTTTTACTTGCACGCACGCAGCAATGCACGCTTTGCTTTTTTGAGATGCATACACGTGTCGAAAGTCGTGACAAGCGTTTTGACCTGCACTATTGACGGTTTGCACTACTCATAACTGCACTATTGAGGAGATACTCTGTATATCTCAGCCTCGTTTGTGCGAAGCGCACGTCGCGGCTGGCTTCCAGTGGGCTTCACGCAACAGAGCCATTACGTCCGATGCGGGTGTAAATCGCTCCTTGGGGGTCGATGATGTCCAACTGCATGCAAATTGTTGTTTTAGAAAAGTAATAGTGTAAGATTCTTTTAGTAGTGTACAGTTGTGGTAATTATACTTCCAAGGAAGAAGTTAGTCGGAAAATAAAGGAATCAGGTCCAAACTACTAGCTAGGCCTACAAAGTCCGTGACGCCAAGGTCTTTTGCAGGGACTTGTGCGTCCGCATCCACTTTTTCTCTTTGCCCCGCAGACGAATTAACTTGAAACGATCGACGCTAGCAAAGTACAGTTCTTTGACCTCCGACGGGACCCAGTGAGAGTAGGCTCCCAACAAATCCTCCCCTACACGTTGGCTTAAGATTTTCATGATAGCGTTTCTTTGCAGAGCCCTTGATTCTTTCCTGTTCATACAGCTCCTTATTTCTGGCGCAACGTGGTCCAGTTCCCAGGTGAAGAAGATCTCTAGCTCAGCTACGCACCTGAACACCTGCTTGGATAACTGTTGTAGAGCCAGATATAGAGAAGCAGTATCAAAGTTGAGCAGTTTTTCGTCATCCCGACCCTGACATGCGGAAACAAAGGTGAGGGACCCTTTGTGAATCTCTAACAACTCATCGATGAGTGGCTGTGTCTTTTTGCGCAATTCGATGATCAATGTGCGGTCGTCGCTGTCAATGCGAGAGAGAATTTGCGGATAAATCACGCTTTCTTGAACGAAAAAGTAGAGCGAGACGATCTGGCTGAAATCAACAAGCCACTTTTGAAGAGCGATAGCGTGAGACGTTTTGAAAGTGTCGATACGGAAAGCCGCTTTTCGAAGCATAACGTATAGATCCTGAACTTCATGGCGGATGCTGTTCTGAAACAGAACGAATGGGTCTGTGACCCAGGAGTTGTCCATGAAGAAGGGTCGAAACTTGAGGACTGGCTGAGATGTACACATTGCCTGAAGATCGGAACGCTTCTTGTGGAGCAGGCCATTTTGAAACCAAACAGTAGAATCCATTTAGAGTTGAGGGTTGAGGCAGGAAGGTGCGAAGGAGCAAAAAGCTGGACCGTATGAGTAAACAGTAATGGGTTTGCTGACGCTTTGGAGAATGGAAGTGCGGGCGTGGTTTCTCAGCAGTAGGATGAACTATGCAGCGGTTTTTATGGCTGACTAAGTGTGGGAATATGAGTTGCAAGGATATGCCCAAGACCACGAGATGACCAGAAACAGAATCATGACGTCTTGCCTGTTTTCTGCATTCCGGATGCAGCAACGAAGAACATCGCCCCTCTGTCGCTGAAGTACTGCACCATTTTTGAAACCAATAAGTGCGGCAGTGCTGGCACAAGCCATATCTGTTCTGTATCTTTGGAAGAGTATCCTTCGGGTAGAAAGACAGGTGCCGGAAAGTATGCCGTGGGAAAGAAGCCAAAAGAGCGCTTCAAACCGGTAAGAGAAGAGACCAAATTTAGAAACAAGATACAGTATGATACAGAAAGCGCAGAGGTGGGCACAGCGTGATCATCACTTGACAACAAAACGGATACTGTATGCGTCTCTGTGCACGCTACCCGTAGAGTGTAAAGGGGGGGCGCCCCAATTCTTGAACAGTGTCCTAATGTTCAAAACACCAATATTATTGGAAAAAAGTGTCATTTTTCGGGCCCATGTCCGCAAAAGACCTATCATCTAGCTATCACGTCTCCATGCGGTAAACGACGTGGATCAATTTAAAAACAAATATGTCAATTAGTTTCGGAGATGTCTTCTACCCCACTGTCAACAAAATCAAAGACAGGGCGGACAAACTTGAGCTGCTATTCAAATTCTTGTCACGAAGAACGCAAAGATTTTACATTCTGGCTATTTAGATACTACAGAAGGCCTTGTACTGATCTCTACCAATGCTCTGGCGCTGGTACAGGGCAAGCGAGCTCGGGATGTGTCAAAGAAAGTGTTTGAAGAGGAGAAAGCAAACCGTTTAACTGTAGAGCGTGCCCTGCGGAATGCCAAATGCAAAGCGGAAGTTGACCGCCGTCGTTACGCAGCGCTGCGTCGAAGGGCTTGGATGGCAGGACTGTCTGTAGACGCATTCAAAGTGAGCGTTCGTTCGATCGAAGAGAGACGTGCAGTTGCACACAGGCGCACCTGGATGAAGAAGGCAATGAGGCTTCAGAGGCTGTTCAGTGCTTCTTTCCGTTCGCAAATTCCATAAACTAGTGACGTAGCAGTCGATTTTCATTCATACGTTGTCTGTTTTCGTCACTTTTTTGGTTTGTTCGATCTTTGGGGCGATTTCTTCATGTCAAAAATTTGTGATATCTCTCGCGTCCGCGGCGACCTACCCACCCTTCTCACTGGGTCAATTTTGGACATGGTCCAATTATGGACATCAACTTTGGATTGGCACAGTCCATCGCTAGAGGAAGAAATAGCAGTCCTCTACAGGTCAGCAGTCTGGGAACAGCCTATAGAATCATCCAGAGCACATTTGAATTGTCCCGCCCAACTCAGAGCCACACTATCCTAAAAAGTCCGAGCGCCGATCTTCGTCCATTCCCAACTTCGAGACCATTCTCCAGGCTCCAATACCTTTACCATACCCCGTTCCATGAAAAAGCGGACTCGAGACAACAGCAAGCGATCTAATGAACGTATTGTAACCATCGAATCTCGACGGAAGGCAGTGGAACTGTTGAAAAGCAGCAAATCAATACGCGAAACGGCTGCCATAACAGGTCTCAGCAAGTCGTTGGTTGGAATTCTTAAATTGGAGCTCAAGAAAATTGGGCATGCTGTACTGCTGTCGAGGTTGGAAACAGAGCAAAATAGACCTGGTAGGCGGACAATACTCAGTCCAAATGAAGAAAACATGGTTGTTGTGGTACAACCGTAGGGACGCTAAACCGTAAACGGAAAAGGACAGGCTGTACCTAAAATGAGGGAGCTTCGGGGACCGCTACACTGGAGCGTCAGGTAGAATAATCCGGAACGGTAGGAAGCACAGGACAAGGGAGGTACACCGCACTGGACACGCGCAGTCGTACTGGGGTGTAGAGCAGTACGACCGGTGGCGAGCTGGAAACCTGCGGGACTTACTTAACCGTACGGTAAAGGACTAGGGTAGGAAGTAAGGGGAGGCGTGCTTGCCTCGGTTTACCTCCAGCCCGGTGCCCCCCTATCTTATACCCCCTAGTAGGGCGGTGGCACCGGACGGACTACAGTAGCTGTACATACTGTAGCCAGCTTACTGTAGCTTACGGTAACTAAAAATGACTACTGTACTAACCCACCGATCGGTCGCGCACCACGTGTACACCTGCACTAGCTGGTGCCACTAACTACACGTGGACTCCCACGTGGCCACATCTACACGTGCTGGCCACGTATGTACCGTATCGGTTAACATCTTACTACTGTACTTGGCGAGGCCTCGGGCGCCCGCCTAGTGCAGTAGCGCCACTTGGCAATTGTACCACAAACCCCCCTTCTTAAATGACGGCACGTCCTCGTGCCGTCCGTTCGGGTTCCGTATCTCCCCTGCAAGCCGTCCCGACGACCGTGCTTGGCACGACTATTCCGTTATCGGTATCTGCTGCCGCCTTCCTGGCCGACGACCGCACCGGGTTGACTCCTTTCGTAATGGGCAAGCGCCGGCGCCCCGGTCGGACAGCTCGGCGGTCTTTCGCTCGGCTATATAAGTCGGGCGAGGATTCCCATGCGGTCAAGACTCTGGCTCCCCCATGCGATCGACCCTCACCCGTACTAACCACATCTCTTCCCAACCAGACGGTACGAGCGACTTCCACGACTTCTTCTGTCCCTATTATCTCACCGATGTCGGAACAGGTGAATAACCCGACGGTGCCGGCGGTGGATCCGCCGGCGGTACGGTCGAGGGCTGAGGCGACACCGCCCCGCTCTCCCCTACTGAGACCGCTGCGGAGTATCCCCGTACCGCGTCTCCTGTCGCTCGCCCGAGCGGTGAGTCGGTTGAGAGCAGCAACGGTAACACCGGCCTCTCCTGACCCGCTCGAAAGGGCGGACCGTTCAACGGTGATCAGAAGGCCCCGGAGGAACCGCGGTGTGCGAGCCAATCGATCAATGAGCCTACGAGAGGTGGCCCGCCGCGCGTTCCCTGGTCAAGAACTCGACCACCGCTGGCGGCGCACGGGGCGGCCATCTGCTGCTCCGGAGCCCCCGCTAACTGTCGCGGAATACAGTAGGCTTGCCCATCGGTACCTCGACGCGGCGCGCTTCGCGGCGATCCCCGTTCAACGTGGGGCCCGCAGCCGGTCGGCGAAACGCCACGGGGGTCAGCGGACCCAAGGCGAGGCCTGGATCGACCGCTGGCGCCATTCGCCGTGTCGGGTTTTGGCGGACCCGGGGAGTGACATCATGTATGTCCGCTGCCCCGAGGAAGTGGCGTACCACAAGGCCCTGTTGCCGTTGCTCGCCCGGTTCGGCCGGGCGGACCAAGCGGTCCCCCATGCTCGGTTGGTGGCCTTCCCCCGCCCGCTATGGGGTTGGTACAGCGTCGCCAACCGTCGCAGGTGGGGCGAGGACGCCGCACGTGAGAGCCGCCTCCGTTGGCGAGGTACGGATTTCTTCTTCCACCTCTGGCACTGCACGGAATTCTTCTCCCTGCCAGTCCAAGCGCGGTCGAAGCTCTATCCGCACCTGCCCACCGACTGGTCCGATTTTGAGGCGCCCGAGCACCTCTGCGTGCCGACGCCCAGTGTGATGGCGTACGTCGCCTCACGGTGGTTGTCGGGCTCTCGGACCGCGGTGGATAACCAGCAGCGAGCGCTGGTCCGTGCCATCACGCTGTCGGAGTGGGCAGCTCTCGTGCTCCACTGCTTCCTCCGTGCGGTGTGTGAGGGGATGCCGTTCTTCACGCGCTGTCCCGACCCGCGTCTGGACGCGCGCCGGCATCAACCCTGCCCGGGCGTGCTGTTCCGCCTGCAACCGTCTTTGGTTGCATTGATCCGATCGGTGGGGATAGCCGCGTTGGTCGAAGGTTCCCCATTCGATGCCGACTACACCGACCAGCTCTTGGAATTCACCCTTCACCGGCCGTGGAGGGACGACGCAGACTTTATCTGGTACGATTACCGTACTGGAGTCATCCCTCACATGCCTCGGCGTGGGGAGGAAGAACCGGAGGGTCCTCATGAAGACCCCAACCAGTCGGTCATACCGGGGTCACCAGGACTCCCTCTCGAGGAGGCCCCCACAGCGACACCCGCTCAAGCGGAGCTGCCGGGGGTAGCGTACCTCAACGGACTTGGAAGTGAGTGGGGCTCAATGGGTCCCGCTCCCCCGCAGGAGACCGTACGGAATTTACCCCAGCCCCCCACCTCGGTGGTAGTCGAGGCGTGCCCCCTTGGGTCGGCCTACAGGGCCACGGGGGTGGACGAAGAAATGGAGAGGCCCCCGCCGCTCCCGCTGGGCTCGGTGGAGGTCGTCGAGATTGCCGACGAGACCCCCTTGGGGGCTGGTGAGGCTCCCAAGTTACCACTCGCCGGGGTGACCGGGCCGGAATCTCCGTCTTGGAAGACAGAGACTCCGCCGCCTTCGCCGGATAGCCGTCCTCCGCTCCGGCCCCCGCCAGTTCACAGCGTGGCGGCGGCGTTGGCGCCGTATTTGGGTTCCCCGAGCGACAGTTCATCGGCTGCGCGGACCTCCCGACTTGGGGTCGGAGCGCGCACGCCCATGCGCGACCGCTGGGCCAGCGCGGGGCCTCTGCCAGCGCGCTCACCCTTGTCGAGGGAGGACCAGGATCCGAAACGGTTTACGCCGGTCGTGGGCGGGGCGGAGCCTTCGCCAGCCGC